TTTTGGTCATAATTTATGTCAAAATGGTACCCTCAAATATCCTATGTAGACATGGGTCAAAATTTCCCAACCCCATAACTTGGTCAAATCTTAACCGATTTTCATAAGGTTTGACTTTTTGTTCATGGTTTTGCCTCTAAATCAACTTGGCATCAAAATCTGGCAACATACACTTAGGTCGAAACTCATGTGGTACCCCCAAATATCCCATATAGACATGGGTCAAAATTTCCCAACCCCATATCCTATATAGACGCAGTCAAAACTTCCCAACCCCATAACTTGGTCAAATCTCAACCGATTTTCATAAGGTTTGACTTTTTGTTCGTGGTTTTGCCTCTAAATCAATTCTGCATCAAAATCTGGCAACATAATTTTTGGTCATAATTTATGTCAAAATGGTACCCTCAAATATCCTATGTAGACATGGGTCAAAATTTCCCAACCCCATAACTTGGTCAAATCTTAACCGATTTTCATAAGGTTTGACTTTTTGTTCGTGGTTTTGCCTCTAAATCAATTCTGCATCAAAATCTGGCTACATCATTTTTGGTCAAAATTCATGTCAAAATGGTACCCTCAAATATCCTATATAGACATGGGTCAAAACTTCCCAACCCCATAACTTGGTCAAATCTTAACCGATTTTCATAAGGTTTGACTTTTTGTTCATGGTTTTGCCTCTAAATCAACTTGGCATCAAAATCTGGCAACATAATTTTTGGTCGAAATTCATGTCAAAATGGTACCCTCAAATATCCTATGTAGACATGGGTCAAAATTTCCCAACCCCATAACTTGGTCAAATCTTAACCGATTTTCATAAGGTTTAACTTTTTGTTCATGGTTTTGCCTCTAAATCAACTTGGCATCAAAATCTGGCAACATAATTTTTGGTCGAAATTCATGTGGAAATGGTACCCCAAAATATCCTATATAGACGCAGTCAAAACTTCCCAACCCCATAACTTGGTCAAATCTCAACCGATTTTCATAAGGTTTGACTTTTTGTTCGTGGTTTTGCCTCTAAATCAATTCTGCATCAAAATCTGGCAACATAATTTTTGGTCATAATTTATGTCAAAATGGTACCCTCAAATATCCTATGTAGACATGGGTCAAAATTTCCCAACCCCATAACTTGGTCAAATCTTAACCGATTTTCATAAGGTTTGACTTTTTGTTCATGGTTTTGCCTCTAAATCAACTTGGCATCAAAATCTGGCAACATCATTTTTGGTCGAAATTCATGTGGAAATGGTACCCCAAAATATCCTATATAGACATGGGTCAAAACTTCCCAACCCCATAACTTGGTCAAATCTCAACCGATTTTCATAAGGTTTGACTTTTTGTTAATGGTTTGGCCTCGTTATCAATTCTGCATCAAAATCTGGCAACATAATTTTTGGTCAAAATTCATGTCAAAATGGTACCCTCAATTATCCTATATAGACGCAGTCAAAACTTCCCAACCCCATAACTTGGTCAAATCTCAACCGATTTTCAAAAGGTTTGACTTTTTGTTCGTGGTTTTGCCTCTAAATCAATTCTGCATCAAAATCTGGCAACATCATTTTTGGTAAAAATTCATGTCAAAATGGTACCCTCAAATATCCTATATAGACATGGGTCAAAATTTCCCAACCCCATAACTTGGTCAAATCTTAACCGATTTTCATAAGGTTTGACTTTTTGTTCATGGTTTTGCCTCTAAATAAACTTGGCATCAAAATCTGGCAACATAATTTTTGGTCAAAATTCATGTCAAAATGGTACCCTCAAATATCCTATATAGACGCAGTCAAAACTTCCCAACCCCATAACTTGGTCAAATCTCAACCGATTTTCAAAAGGTTTGACTTTTTGTTCGTGGTTTTGCCTCTAAATCAATTCTGCATCAAAATCTGGCAACATAATTTTTGGTCATAATTTATGTCAAAATGGTACCCTCAAATATCCTATGTAGACATGGGTCAAAATTTCCCAACCCCATAACTTAGTCAAATCTTAACCGATTTTCATAAGGTTTGACTTTTTGTTCATGGTTTTGCCTCTAAATCAACTTGGCATCAAAATCTGGCAACATAATTTTTGGTCGAAATTCATGTGTAAATGGTACCCCAAAATATCCTATATAGACGCAGTCAAAACTTCCCAACCCCATAACTTGGTCAAATCTTAACCGATTTTCATAAGGTTTAACTTTTTGTTCATGGTTTTGCCTCTAAATCAATTCTGCATCAAAATCTGGCAACATAATTTTTCGTCGAAATTCATGTGTAAGTGGTACCCTCAAATATCCTATATAGACCCAGTCAAAACTTCCCAACCCCATAACTTTGTCAAATCTTAACCGATTTTCCTAAGGTTTGACTTTTGGTTCATGGTTTTGCCTCTAAATCAACTTGGCATCAAAATCTGGCAACATAATTTTTGGTCGAAATTCATGTGGAAATGGTACCCCAAAATATCCTATATACACATGGGTCAAAATTTCCCAACCCCATAACTTGGTCAAATCTTAACCGATTTTCATAAGGTTTAACTTTTTGTTCATGGTTTTGCCTCTAAATCAATTCTGCATCAAAATCTGGCAACATAATTTTTCGTCGAAATTCATGTGTAAGTGGTACCCTCAAATATCCTATATAGACGCAGTCAAAACTTCCCAACCCCATAACTTGGTCAAATCTTAACCGATTTTCATAAGGTTTAACTTTTTGTTCATGGTTTTGCCTCTAAATCAATTCTGCATCAAAATCTGGCAACATAATTTTTCGTCGAAATTCATGTGTAAGTGGTACCCTCAAATATCCTATATAGACGCAGTCAAAACTTCCCAACCCCATAACTTGGTCAAATCTTAACCGATTTTCCTAAGGTTTGACTTTTGGTTCATGGTTTTGCCTCTAAATCAACTTGGCATCAAAATCTGGCAACATAATTTTTGGTCGAAATTCATGTGGAAATGGTACCCCAAAATATCCTATATAGACATGGGTCAAAATTTCCCAACCCCATAACTTGGTCAAATCTTAACCGATTTTCATAAGGTTTAACTTTTTGTTCATGGTTTTGCCTCTAAATCAATTCTGCATCAAAATCTGGCAACATAATTTTTCGTCGAAATTCATGTGTAAGTGGTACCCTCAAATATCCTATATAGACGCAGTCAAAACTTCCCAACCCCATAACTTGGTCAAATCTCATCCGATTTTCATAAGGTTTGACTTTTTGTTCATGGTTTTGCCTCTAAATCAACTTGGCATCAAAATCTGGCAACATAATTATTGGTCGAAATTCATGTGGAAATGGTACCCCAAAATATCCTATATAGACATGGGTGAACATTTCCCACCCTCATAACTCGGTCAAATCTCATCCGATTTTCATAAGGTTTGGCTTTTTGTTCATGGTTTTGCCTCGTTATCAATTCTGCATCAAAATCTGGCAACATAATTTTTGGTCGAAATTCATGTGGAAATGGTACCCCAAAATATCCTATATAGACATGGGTGAAAATTTCCCACCCCCATAACTCAGGCAAATCTCATCCGATTTCGGTAAGGTTTGTCTCTTTCATCATGGTTTGGGCTCCAGATCAATTTGGCATCTAAGTCTGGCAACATTATTTAGTTTTTAGTTTTTCTCGGATATGCTCTATACCTATTTTCAAAGGTTTACATAAGAACTTAAAGAATAGTCTATATTGGCTTTCAAGCTTATTTTTAAAAATATTTGAGAGTATTTATTTTATACGTATCACGGGAAAAGCCGGGGTACACCCGCTAGTATAAATATATATATTTATAATAACGTACTTACCTGCAAATATACACGAACGATTTTTATCATCATCTATTAGTAGGCGGGAGACGATCTTTTATATGAACACATCCCTGAAAGAAAATAAAAGCAGAGATGCTTATTAACTTGAATAAGTGAGAATCGCATAGTAGATTGATAGAACATTGTTATGTTTTTAATACGTACCAGTTTTTTCAACGGCCACATTTATAATTGATGTCTCCGCCTCCTCTAATGTGGCCGTCCCTTTCATAGTTAAAGCAGCCGCCACCTCCTTCATAGTTGAGGCAGCCTCCTGTGTAGTTGAAGTTGAAGCCGTCTCCTCTTATGATTAAGCCGTCGCCTCCTCGCTAGTTAAAGCCGCCTCCTCCAATATTATTGAAGCCGCCTCCTCCTTTGCTCAAGCTGCCGCCTCCTCCTATATGAAGGCCACCGCCTCCTGCTTGAAGTGAAGCCTTACTTACTTGAGGCTTACTTGAATTTATGAGAATCGCGTAGAAGGGCATTAGTAAAGAATACGTAAATGCACACACATAAATACATACATACACACATACATACATACATACATACATACATATATACATACACATACATACATACATACATACATACACACACACACACACACACACACACACACACACACACACACACACACACACACACACACACACACACACACACACACACACACACACACACACACACACACACACACACACACACACACACACACACACACACACACGCACACACACACACACACACACACACACACACACACACGCGCACACACACACACACATACTCACTCACACACACACACACACACACATGCATACATACATACATACATGCATACAAGCATACAGGTATACATGCAAACATGCAAACATGCAAACATGCATACATGCATACATACAAACATGCATACACACATACATATACATACACCTTGTGGTGAGAATTAAGCCGAAAAATTAACTTTCCTTATATAACACTTTGACCCACATTTATCCACCAAGAGAGGTGGATTTTGCGAAAAGTGTGAAAGATCCTTAAGCAATTTTAGGATTTCCCTAAAATTATTTTTTTCTTAATAAATATTAGCTTTCCTTAAATATTGCCTAGCTTTGAATTCAAATCAAACTAATCTATTTACATTTTGTGTTTGTTTGAATTTACAGTATTACGACTTCACCGAGATTGCCGAGGTGGCTGCACGCGAATTCACTGAATTCCTATCGAATAAATTTCCAAATGCCAACACGCCGATTGCCATAGATGAGCCGACCCGCGAGGAGGTGAGCCGGCGGGCCAATGGCATTGCCAGCAATGCCCTCAACGAGGATGACAATCTGTTGGCCTTTGCCATCGCGGCGCCCAGCATACACACAGTTGTTGTCAAATTCAGGGACAATGTGACGGTCAGTTCCGGACTACGACAATAAACAAATAACATTTTAGCTTATGGACTTTAAATGGTTATTCGTATTATTTACTTTTCAGATACCACCGAATCAGGTGCACAACAAGGCTTACTTGGGTTCCTATTGGCGGGAATTGGGGTGAGTTTCAGATACAAGAATTGAGTCCAAGCATTTGTTTTTCATATTTTAAAACTAATTAAAATATATATGTTAAGATTTTGTTATAATAAATTATTAATTTTACAAGTTTCAACTTATTATTTGTTAATAAAGGAACAATATTAAAACCCTTTTTTTCCACTTTTCGTTTTGTCTAAAAAAATCTTGTTTGATTTCCGAAAAAAAATCTTAAAACAAGTTGCAATTTGAAAGTATGAAATTGAAATAATTTTTCGTGAGCTTATTTAAGATTTGAATGTTAAAATAAGTTTCAAATTACTTAAAATAACAATTAGTCTGATTAAAATATTATATTGTTTTGCTTTGCCACTGGATCATATTTCTATTTCATTGAAGCTTAATTTAAGTCTCCAGAGAATCTTTAAACAAGTTTCAACTAACATAGAATACTCATTATTTTGATTAAAAGACCTAAATGTTTGATTTCCCAGTGGATCGTATCGTATATGATATTATTAAATAGCTATAGCTTGTGTTTGCGTGCAGCTGACAGTTCGCTAATTGATTTGATCGTATCGAAAATGCTTATAGGGCCGCCTGGAACAGCAGCGATGGCACCAAGGAGTGGGGCGCGCCCTTTCGTGACTGCAACCTTTTGACGGGGCGCTGGCTGTGGCCATTTCGCATATCATTCACCGAGCACCGAATCAAGTGAGTTATTACTAAAGTTAAATATCTATTTAATTAATTGCACTTACTCACTGACTGTTTGATTGACTGGGAGCTGTTTTTTCTTGTGATATGAATCCACGAATAGACGGGATTTTGGTAACTTTCACTTACAAGCGTGGAAAATTGGTGGAATGGTGATTGATACAAATTGTTCGCTTAAATCATTTCCATAGATCGCTGTGAGAATTTATGACTGAAATTTCCACAGCAGCTCTTTCTTGTGATATGAATTCACGCTTGGATGTGGTTTTATAAAATTCCACCTGCAAGCGTGGAAAATTAGTGGAAAGGCGATTGATAAAAGTTGTGCCACTTAACTCATTTCTGAAGATCTCTGTGAGAATTTATAGCAGGCATGTTTTATCGAATTTACTTCCACGGTCGGAAAATGGGTGGAAAACTGCTGAACTTGATTTTTTTCCCTTGATGTACTTTAAATATTTTAAAGATCTATAGAAGATTTATAGATGGAATACCTTAGGCTAATAAATATAAAAAATATTATAAAAACCTATTTCAAATTCAATCTTCACAGAATTGTTGCCGCTGCATTTATAGCCGCCGATGAGGATGTGTGCAACGACGGCCTGGAGGAGGTCTTCGGACGGCGTCACGGGTAAAATACGCTAAAAAAAAAACGAATTATGTAAAGAAATAAAGATTAACTGGGCTTTCATGCATGTTGCAGCTGCGATCGGAACACCACATTTTGCCTGCTGACCGAAACGAAGCCGCCGGCCACACGTGATGTGTACACGTGTTTGTGCCGCGAATCCTATTACCTGCCCAATGGGACGCTGCAGGGTTTTCCCGGTGATCTGGTGGAGCTATCCGAGGGCTATGACAATTACTCGTGTCTGCCCTGTCCGGGTGGCTGCAGCAATTGCGACATGCACGGCGTATGCCTCAACTTTCAGGAGGAGGATGCGCTCAACATAGATGCCTGCCTGCGTCTCCTGGTGGCCATTGTCCTGGCCGCCTGCATTCTGTGCTGTGTGGTGCTCAGCGTGATCGTGTTCCGGCAGCGCAAGTGCAAGGTGGGTCAGAAAATTAGCTAAAAATAACATTGATTATATCTCTGTTCAATTACTATTTTAGGCCATTGCCTCGGGCATGTGGACCGTGCTGGAGACTATTCTGCTGGGCATTGTTTTACTTTATGCATCGGTGCGTCAATTTGCAGCCCAGGATTTGCCTGCTTATTTGTAATGCCATGCCTCATTTTAGGTTGCCGTCCATTTCTTTCCCGCCTCCACGGAGCGCTGCCTGCTGGAGCCCTGGCTGCGCGAAATTGGCTTTATTACGTGCTATGGTGCGATCATATTGAAGCTATATCGGCATCTGGTGGACTTTCGCACCAGGAAGGCGCATCGCTGGGTGCTGCGCGATGTCGATCTGCTCAAGTATCTGGGCACCATGGTGTTTGCCGTTGTCTGTTATATGTCCGCATTTACGGCCTCGTCGCTGGACCTGCTCGAGAGCGCCCAGCTGGAGAGTCTGCGTGAGGCCAGCACCAACACTTGCCATCCCCTCAAATGGGAGCTGGTGACGCAGACCAGCGAGATGCTCATTCTCTGCTTTGGCCTACATCTGGCCATTGCCAGTCGCAATGCCAATACACAGTTTCGGGTGAGCAGGCGTCTATAATATGAACTGTCTTTCGATAAGTGCCTCTTTTTATCGCAAATCGATAAATATCGATAGATATTAGTTGGCAGTTTTCTTAGTTTATCTTAAGGTTTGACAATGTTTTATAATTCACAGAATGTTTTGTATCTAGCAGAACATATTGTTTGATTTTATTTAAAAATATTTCCATATTTCTTAGAAATCGATAAGTATCGATTAGCAGAATAGCTAGAGATAGCTAGATTTTATCTCGGATTCTCTTAAAGTGTTTCACTTTTTCTAACCCCAGAAAAAAATAAATGGATTCTACAGATTCTCTAACATGATTTTAGCTATTTGTATACCCTAGAAAAGTAAAAGTGATTCTCTAGATTCTTTGATCCTTTGATTTCCTGTGTCTTTTAAAGGACCTACCCTAAAAGTTTTATATCGATCGGACTATAAACATCAAAGATATTTAGGAATGGATATTCTAATAGGTTTCTAGGTTCTAGGTTTCTTTACTTACAGATTTATATATTTTATCTAAGAATTTTCTTTAAAATTTTTACCTCTCACCATTTGCAGGAGCGTCAATTTCTGGTGACAACGTTGACGCTGGAATTTTTGGTGTCATCCAGTTTCTATTTTCTGCGCTTCGTCTATTTGCCGGAAATGAGTCCCAGCGCCATTTTGTTGGCGCTATTTGTGCGCTCGCAGCTGACAAATAGCTTCGCCTTGGGTTTGATATTTGTGCCAAAATTGTGGTATCAACACAAGCAGGTAACCAACAATTGTTCATGTTTACTGTCGGCGCTTGAGTTTTTCCAATGATTTTCCTATGATTTTCCATTAACATTTGGTTTAACATTAACAGATTGATTTATTGCTAACAAAACAAAAAAAAAAAAGATAAGAAAAATATAAAACAAGTGCGTCCAAAGTTTGTTCGACTGCCAAATACATATATATATATATTTACCATATATGCTAGAAAGTTGAGATAATTCCGACGTATAGTTGAGATAAACCCGCCGTAGGCTCAATTTGTGCACAGTCATCGTCAAGTCAAATCGTAGTCTCGTCTTTGTATTTGGTATTGACATTTGGTTGAGGAAACGATTTTTGTAGAAACAAAACAAATTTGAGTAAAGCCGCCGCAGAAAGCTTTTTGCTGGAAAACAAAAAACCAATTAATTTGATTTGTTAAAAAAAACAACATTTTTTTGGTTTCTTTTGATTTGTCGAGTTGAATTCTTATTAAACAATTTTAGTATTTAAGCTAACATAATTCATGAATTTTAGTCAAGCTATGAAGTTGCTGCAAGTGTCATTTTACTGTACCAGAATGTTTACTGTATGTATTTCGAGTTTCATTATCATTTCACATTTGCACCCCCAAAAACTATTCCGTTGCACAACTGTACTTTTTCGGTTTTACAAAGATTTAAGCGAACGTTAACCAACACTGGCCGCATGCAATTTTCTTGTTCGTTTGCATGCATTTCAGCTAAGACAACAGATACACGTAGAATGACAAAAATCGGTTTCCTTTTAATACCCAACATGCATACCAAAACTTTAGAGTATCTTCTTCTTCTTCTACATACACTATATATATATATGTGCCTCTCTCGCTCGCTCGCTCTCTCTCTCTCTCTCTCTCTCTCTGTCTGCCTCGCTAACTGTCTCTCTGTGTGCCTCTCTAACTCTCTAACCCAAGTAGCTTAGCCGAAGCCCAAAAAAAAATAACGTTTAGTCGTCGTTAATTATGTTCAGATTTTGATCTATGTTTATCTCATTTACAGCACCACAAGAGACATAACCACGCCCACGCCCCAATAAACACACATTTATAACAAAAAAAAAAGAAACACTAATCTAAAAGCCATAATATACACTCAGCGAAAAAGTCCAGTTAAAATCGGAGGCTAAAATATATGAAGCCTTCAACTGAATTGAGAAGCTTTCTTAAGCAATTTCTAAAAACAAAACTCAAATAGTTTCATTTAAGTTCAATTCTTATTTCATTAAGAAAAAAAAGCGCTTAATTTAAGCTTGTAGATTCTTATAAGTTTCAAATATATTAAACTTTCAACTTTGAAAAAGATTTAAGAATATGCTTAAGCCAGAAATTTCTATAAACAAAACTCGAATAGTTTAATTCAAGATCTTTTGTTCTTTAACTAAGAAAAAATGGGCTTAATTTAAGCTTGTAGATTCTTAAAATTCACAAATAATTTGAAAGTTGTTTATCTTGTTTCTTACTCAAATTTCTTACTCAAAAAAAATGGAAAAAATATCTTGAAAATGCTACGCAAAAGAAAAACTTTTGAAATCGCACACAGTTTTTCTCTGAGTGTAAAATCCCATCAAAATTTCATACACAATTGACACAAAGCGCACTCAAATTTCTTCTATACTTTTCCAATTCTTACGATTCTGTTTATATTATTTTTGATTTGTTTCTGTTTTTTACCTTGACTTTCTGTTGAGTTTCCGTTTCCTTTGGCATTTCCGTTCGACTGTTAACCGTTATGCGTTGGCTTTTCCGTTTCGTTTTCCATTTCCGGTTCCGTTTCCGTTTTTCTTTGTACAGTGCTGAGTGTGTGTTTTTGCGGTGTTTGTTGCATCTTCATAGCTTGCAGGTTCGTTCGCTTGCGTATGATCTATCAATGCGTTTACCTGTGGATGCTTTCAAGGGTACCTCACACGATGCCGGGCAGCGCCTGGGCGGCGGCTATGCGGGTCTGTGCCTCGGCGATCCGGATATCGGTGAGCTGACCATATCCGAAATGAGTCCCGAGGATATACGTGCCGAACTCAAAAGGTGACTCAAACCCGGCTAGATCATGATGATGACAAATTGTTGAATGCCATATTCTTTTGCAGACTGTACACACAACTGGAGATTTTGAAGAACAAGACACTGCGTCAGGATAATCCGCATATTAGCAAAAGGCGCGGCGGCCGCAAGGCGGGACATCGTCGCTTCTCATTGCAAGTAAGTGACTGAAGACCGACTGGCCGTCAAGTCAGGGTCTTCACTGTAATATACATTTCCACCATGGCCAAAGACAAGAAGCTCGTCTTACTTCCAAATGCAAAGCCAAAAGTTGTCTCAATGTTTTTCAAACTCTAACCAGAGCCCGAGCCAAAGCTCTCCCACCCATCCCCTACTCTCTTGCTATAAGTCTCGCTCTCTTTCGCTCTCTCCCACCCCCCCCCCCCCTCCCCCCACCCCCCTCTCTCTCTCACACACTCTTTTTAATGCCACTCTTTCTGTGTCAATATATAAGTATTAATATGAAATATATCTGTATATATATATCATTGTTCTTGTCATGACTTGTACTATATTATGAAAAAAAAAAAAAAAAACTCAAACCCACCAACAAAAACCAAATAAAAAAACAAAACACTCTAAATGTAGAAAAAGGGCAGCAAAGATAAGGTAAGCAACGTCAGACTCTCTCACTGTTACATAACACGTAAAGCTAACCTAAAAAAACAAACGAAACCTAAAACCGAAAAAACTAACCTAACTTTGTGTTGTGCATAACCTCAAAAAAAAAAAAACAAGCGCCTAACTCAACGTAACATATCGTTAAGTCTTTAACAACAACTTAGCATGCAGGCCAAAGCTACCCAAAAATAATAACTATAATAATAATAAATAATAAATAAACAATTGTACCAAGTCCTTTGAGTCTCTGCTGTCTACAGTGTTACCCAAAAATGCATGTACACCCATAGCACTTGTTGTAACTAAGCTAAAACTTAAAAGAATCCCCTAATTATAAAAACTAACAACTAACTGCACTAAATTAACAGCTGTATTGTTAGACTAGCCCCATGAATAATATGACGCAAAACCTTTCGCAGGCTTTAAGTGCCAAACATCGCAGCAATAAGCATCATCAGGATATTGAAATAACCGAAGCGGAACCGTCGCGCACGCCCGAGGATTCAGTTTGCAGTGCGGAGGGACCGACAGATACCTATGCCGAAATATCGGGCATATCGCATTCAATGCTATCCCATTCCATGGTCTCCCACTCCGTTGTCTCGCACTCGAAGTAGGCGCTCCAACCATGCGGCCATACTGTACATAACTCAAGCAAACTAGATATATGCTATATATATACATATATATATAGATACGTGAATGTATGTAACTGAGAATTAGGTGCAGCATTATAACAAATAGCGCAACAACACAAACAATAAAAGAATTACTTTAATTTTTGCAATGAGATTGAGCAAATGTTAAAAATAATAATAATATATATTAAAAAAATATATATATATAAATATATATAGAAACAATAAAAAACATTACTTTATTTTAACAAAAATGGCATGGAGCAGTGTTGAGCAACACCAAAACAAAAAAATACAGTGTTGAGCAACAACAACAATTTGAAAAGCAAGGAAATGCAAATTTTGTACAATTTTGATAAATTTTTGAGAGCTGTTTTTTGTGCGTGTGGTTTAAGTTTTTTCTTTTTTTTTTTAATTGTGACAAGAGCAAAAGAAAAGAGTTGAAAAATGTATAACAGAGCCCACCTGTGTAGGTAAACGTTAAAAACTGTTGCAGCAAATATGTTAGCTAACACTGTTTTTCTCTTTGTTTGAATATAACTTAACTGAGTTCCTTATAAAGTAACTAAACAAATCTACTTATATACTTAATAATTTGCCTTTTTCATTTGTAATCGCAATAAAAATGAATCAAATATGTTAAAAACTAACTCAAAAGACAATTCCTAATGGTCGTAAATCAGTTGTAAATTTGAGCTTATAGGCAATACTTACTAGATATTTCCAACCCAACACCCCGCCCCTCTCCCCCTCTCCCCTCAGCGCCCTTCCTCGTAACTAACTACTTACACAATCGACGCCTAGACTTTAAACTATGTATGTACTTTATATATACCTATATATATATATATATAAATAATTAATATTGTAAAACCACAGCAACTAATCAGCGTATAGCGAATATTTGTATATACTTACATATATATATATATATACTATACAGATTTATATATATATGTATGCATATCTGAAGTATGCGCCATTTAATATACTCGTACATTGTGAGAGAAGCAAAGCCACAAAATACCAAAGCGAGGCACTTGTTAATTTTGTGACAGAGCGAACAAATTACAAAAATTGTTGTATAATTTTACAAATAGTTCAGCAGAGAGCTTGGGGGCGTGGCAGCTTAACGAACGTTCAGAATGTTAGTAAGTAGCTAAATACAAGTCAAGTAGCTAAAAGAAAAAGAAAAAAACAGAAGCAATTTTCAAAATCCAAAATTGAATTCAAAACTCCAAAAGAAAAAAGAAAAAAAAAAAGAGAAAACAGAACATTTGCAACATTTTTTGAGGTTAGTTTTTAATTTTGAATTCCAAAAAAAAAAAAAGCAAAATGCATTTGAAATGTTAAAATGAAAAAAAAAAAACATTTTGCACAATCCAAAATTGATTTCGTAACTCCAAAGGAACAAAAAAAAAACAAATAAAATTTTAATTTTTTTTTATAATTTTTTGAGGTTAGGTTTAGTTTTAAATTTTAATAAAAACAAAATGTGTTGGGAAAAATATAAAAACATTTTTCGCAATCAAAAATTAATTTCAAAACTAAAAAAAAATAAAGATGAATATACAAAAAAATTTTTTTTATTATAATAATTTTGTAGGTTAGGTTTGATTTCCATATATATAATTCCAATAAAACAAAATGCATTTGAAATGTTATTATGAAAAAAACGAAAAAAAAAAAAAAAACAGCAGAAAAGCAGACAAAATATGGATTTCATATTTTTTAAGCTTAGTTTTTTATATTTAATTTAATTTTTTTTTATTATTTTCTAGTAATTAACGAAATACATTTGAAATGTATTTTGTAATGTATTACGCCATATAAGAAATTTTCGAATATGAATAAAAAATGGAAAAAGCGTAATATTCTGAGTAAAATATGTCCAAAAAATGAGAACAAAGCAAAGATTCAAAGCCAACTTATAGAACATATACAGTATGCAGTACATTGGCATTTGGCATTTACATGTGAGAACCTTCTGGTTGGGAAAACGTTCAAAATTTGTTAAAAAAAAAAAACAAACACGCACACACACACACACAGAAGCATGCAAAGTTGAGCATTTAAAAAATATTTAAAAAAAAACAAGGCAACTTTTTGATTGGGTTTGATCAAAAAGGTTTGTGTAAAAATATGAATTAATTGAAGTAATGGCATATACATTATTATATATATATAACTGATTATACTATATATATAAATTATACATATATAGGAATGTATGTAATTGACATATATATGTATGTGTGCGTGTATCAGCATTACAATAATAAAAACATAAAACATTTAATATATATACTTATGAAAAATAACAACAAAGAGAAGAAAAGGGCATACTTAAGAAATTAGTTGCTCATTGCAAAAGAAAAATTCCAAAATCCAAAAAAAAAAAAACATTTTGCAAGTGTGATAGTGTTCATAATATTCGTTCATTGTAATTTAAAGTAATAAAAACAAAAAAAAAACACAAAAAAAAATGATAACGAAAAAAAACCAAATAGAAATTAAAATGCATTAAGCGTTGCGTCTATATATATAAATATATATATTCAAGTATATTTATATATATAGATATATAAGGCGTAGGCCCGTTTAGGGCAAGGGCCAGGGCGTAAATCCAAAAATTGTAACGCAAATATTTCAAAATGAATTATGAAACAAAAAAACAACAGAAAAATAAAAAACAAGAGCGACAACAAAAAATGATACTAATAAACATAAATAATGATTAAATCAAATAAAAACTTGTTTCGTTTTCTTTATAAATGCGATCTAGGGAGTTATTTTTTCTATATTTGATGTATTTAATTTTCAGGAAATTTCATTTATTTAATGCATCTGTAGAAATTTCCCTCTTGCAGATATGTGAGCATAGTGCAGAATAGAGAATACTTTAAAAACAGAATATTTTGCCATATAAGATCCTAACTATTCAACCGATAATTCCTATAGCAGCCGATGTTGATAGCCTTTGGCATATATACAACGATCATAGATCTAATAAATTCCGAGTTTGGAAAAGTTATCTTAATATAAAACAAGTAAGAGGTTCTAGTCGGGAGCTCCCGACTAGGGGATACCCTGTACCCTCTTCTTCCAACATCAAATGCATATATATATTCTATTTTAGAAGCTTAATGTCAAGTTTGCTGACTCTAGCTCTTATTATTTACCAAAATTGCCCAAAAAACTGGATATCGATATCGACTTTTATCGATTGCTTGGGAACGGAGTAAGTTATCGATTATCGGAAACAAACTCGATCTGCGCGGGAGCTAGGAGCATCTAGTCTCTAGCTCCTATAGGTTCTGAGATCCTTGTGTTCATACATACGGACGGACGGACGGAGGGAGAGACGGACATGGCTAGATCGAATCGGCTATTGATGCTGATCAAGAATATATATACTTTATGGGGTCGGAGACGCTTCCTTCTGCCTGTTACATACATTTGGATTTTGCACACAAACAATAAACCCTTATACCCATTTAAATGGGTTCAGGGTATAAAAAAGGTTTCCTCAACTGAGCCGACTCTTCGACCGATCTTTCCTATAGCAGCTATATGATATATTGATACGTTGTGGATGAGTATGCATACTTGTAGGGAACACAACCCTTTAATTCCGTTTGGGTAAGAAATCTGTTTGAGCAAAAAATGGTTTCCTTACAAGTATTTAATTTTCGACCGATCTTTCCTATGGCAGCTATATGATATAGTGGTCCGATTCGGCCGGATCCGACATATGTACGATATCTTGAAAACCGAGAGACTAGTTCGCAAAGAAACTGGCAGACGGACGGGGGGGAAGACGATCAGACAGACGGGCATGGCCATAACAACTCAGATCTTGATGCTGATCTAGAATATATATATACTTTATAGGGTCGGAGATGTCGCCATCCTTCATGACAAATTTATCATATACTCTATAAATGGTATAAAAAATTCAACATATGACTTACGATTGTGCAGATATAGAAACTTCTTTCCAATTGATTTTTCCTATATGATATAGTAGTCCGATGCTGTTAAGATCTGTTCCATAGAGCTATATGCAATAGTAATCCGATGCTGATACGATTTCTCCTGCATAGCTTTATGATATAGAAGTCCGATGCTTATAAGAGATGTCTTATGTTAGGTAGGACGCATAGTTCCTAAACTGACGTATAAATAATCGCTCGCCCATATAGATAAATCGGACTAATATAAACAAAACTAGACATTCGAGCATGGATCAGATTTCTAAGTACACAAAGTTCGCAAATCTTAAACAGTTCCAATTTTTTTTCAAGTATTTTCTTAAACGAATTAATATTAAAATATCTTCACTTATAATATTTCTACAAGTCGGACCTTTATTCATTTATAGTATACTCTATATATATATATATCTCTTTTTCATTTCTTTCGGTTTTTTTTTGTTTTTTTTTTTTTTTTTTGAAATATAATTGAAATATTGCTTGAAGTTGATTTCAAGTGTTTCCTTGTTAGATTGCAATTACATTCAATGAATTAATTAAATTTAAATTTAGTTTTAATTACAATTTGTTAAAACTATTTTACTCACTTTGCTTGCTTTGTTCGCCATCATTTTGGTAGTTGTTAGTTAATTAATTAGTTAGTTAGTTAGTTAGGATCTAGCAGTTATTATATTAGTACGTATCGTTTGTTAATTTCTTAGTTTCTGCTCAACAATTTTCAGTTTTACAAAATGTTCTCAATTGAATTAGTTTAGTTTAGAGAGAAGCGAGCTTTGCATTTGGTTTACTTCTTTTCTTTGCTTTTCTTTTCTTTTTTGTTTTGTTTGTTGCTTTTGATCGTCAACTTGTTTTATTAAAACTTAAATAAAAAATTGTACAATAATTAGTTAATTACTTAATAATTATTTTGGTTTTACATGCGCTGCGCATTCGTTTTGTTGCTGGTGCCTATGTGTGTGCATTTTAGGTAGACTTTTTGTTTGAGTGTATTAATAATAGTTTATATATATATAAGTAATATTAGATGTACATTATGCATTTATATAACACTATATCTGGTTTTGTAAAAAATGTACAATTTAATTGGTTTTGGTTGACTTTTTGCTACAGTTTTAGTTTTTTTCGTGTTAAGTTTTCATATTTGTTTTTA